GGGTGTTTAAGATATATGATGAACCGGAATCGCCTTTTGAGGGGGCGTGCTTGAAATATACATATATATGTATATATATATACATGATGAAACCGGATCGCCAAATAAGGGACCGTTTCAGATATATGCGGAATCCGAATTGCCAAATGACGGGGTTTGGTGTTAGTTGTTCTTGTTTTTTGGTCCCGGCATCCCCAAATGAGGGGGCGTGTTTAAGATAGAAGGGGCATACTGAAAATACATGATGAAGCGGAATCGCCAACAGATGGGGCGTGTTTAAGATATATGAAGAGCTGAAATCGCCCAAAGATAGGGCGTGTTCAAGATATATGATGACTCGGAATCGCCTAATGAGGGGGCGTGTGTAGGATACGTGATGTACCGGAATCGCCAAATGAGTGTGCGTGTTTAGAGATATATATATATATATATATAAGATACATGAGCAATCCGAATCGCCAAAAGGGAGGCGTGTTGAAGATATATGATACATCCACAATTGCAAATTGGTTTCTACGGGTTTTGTGTCAGTTGTTCTTTGTTCCAAAACCTTGAACGCTAAAGTGGCCAAGTGACCCAGAAAAAATGTAGCTATGTGACCCCGTGGGCCCCCTGCATGAGCTCCGTGTGGCACGAGAAGGTGCTGCTGGCCGCAGCTGGATTTGTAACGGCTGTTGCTACTTTCTGGCCAGTGCCTTAGTAAGCCTCAGGAGATTCCGCTGAGGGGATTGCAGCGAATACCTGGACCCCATTGTCCAGAACACCCACAGGGAGGATGTCAACGGCAAATGTTGTAGAGTTTGACGGCGTGAGTGATGCCTCTTGCGATGAGGCTGACGTGCATCCGGAGCAGGACATCAGCTGTTCTGTATGGTGTAATTCGTGGTACAACCACAGGTGCCCCAAACGCAGTTCACGAAGGGGTTGGCCCATCGTGCTTCTGGGTCGGCCATGCTGTTTGGCCAGGTATGTTCCAGAGCCTTCTCAGTGCCGGGCTTGCATTCACTGCTCTCGGAGTGCGCCAGCCGCTCACATTTCCTCATCGAAGTTTCGTATGGATATCTTTGCGGAACGCACATGTGTGGCGAGGGCGGGAGGAGATTGGCCGTGTGCTTGGGTACAACCAGTTGTGTACGTGGCAGCCTCAATCTAAAAGTCATGCACTCAAGTGTCTCAGACAAAACTCCACCTGCAACATCCGCAGCGAAGTGGGGTTTCAAGTCTGATGGGTCACAGGTTGACGTCACTCGCGTCGCACGCAGGTTGGTCGGCACTGGAGTCGGTCCTTTCTGGTATGGTCGGTAGCTGAAACTGTTGTCGCGCACATGCTGTGCCCACAAAACCTGGTAGTTGGAGGCAGCTTTCGGGACGTCTTTGGTGCATTTCGATTCGGCCTTCTCTTGTCGGCGCTGCACCGGGCTTAGCGGCTTAGCTTGTGCCCGATTTGTAGACATGAGACTCTCAAAGCCTGTCTCGAAAGTCAAGGCCCCCTTTGATGCTCGGGATCTTCTTTGCTTCGCAGGCGCACAGATGCTAGGGTAGCGGATCTGCCGGTCTTGATTTCATTCTTCTCTTCTGTGGTGCCCTCCGTGGAGGCATGTGCAGACCAGCAACTTCCATCGAAAGGCATTTGCTTCAGGGAGACGTCAGCATGTTTGCCTTAGTTTGGTGTGCAGGGGACAGGAAGCCTCCAGTTAGCGACTCAGCCTGGCACGAGCAAGCCCTGCATTTCCCGCCAGTCATCTAGTTCGCCGATCCCTATAGTAAACTGTAAGAGTACCTGCGCCGGCACGGAGGAACTGCAGCCTCTGGTCGTTGTTGTGTAATTGATGTGCACCTTGTAGCAATGCCAATGCGAGGAAGAGGCAACATCACCAAATTACCAGGAGAATGTTGTGTCATCATCTCAGTTGTGGCAGGGCGTCCTTTTGTCCAGTCGTGGCAATCTTTGCTGCTAAAATTACGTTGACTTTGCACTTGCGTGGCCGCATGTTTTCCCTTCCGCCGACCCTTGACCGCCGGCAACCGTGAATCGACAAATGTTTTTCCCTTCCTGGACAAGTCGCCTTCTTTCAACATGTCTTCCCTGATTTTCCACGTCATTGTAAAGTCAATATGCCGCTTCAGAACTGCAATACTGTGCTCAACGGACCTCAATATAGTCTGCTAAATTACTAACTTCATGTATTACATGCTCGTGTTTCCCTTTCCCTGGAAAAGCGAGCGTCGCAATCTCTAAGCTCATGCCTCGGTTAATTCGGGCAAAGAGGCAGCAAGCAAGAGGTCGGGAGTGTTGATCCGTCTGTTTTGCTTGCTAGCGGCTATCAGTTGCTGCACGCTTGGTTTCTTGCTACCTCCCATGATTAAAGACGGATTTTGCTGACACCTCCATGTTGTGGAAGCAACTGGTCCAGCCAAACATGTCGTTGTGTTTTTCCCTCGCTGCATTCTGGCCGCTGGGTTCAAGGCATCACCAGACATTACCAGACCAGGCCGAGGATGCAGGGACCAGACCTGACGACGAGGAACATGCTTTCAAGGCATGTTGTCACATGCGGGGCGTCGGAACTGTGTGGAGGGCGCAAGCTCGCAATCTTGCGATAATTACGTTCAGTGTTGCAGGTTGGCTCTGCTTATGTTGCTGCAGATGTAGTGCTTGCCTAATGGACCATTATTGAGCGACCACTTGCTTCTGCATGCTTTGAGATTGGCTTTGTTGCAAGCAGATGTTGCAGACAGGCAGCATGGCAGTTTTTGCCCCTGGGTTCTTTGGACATGGCACACTGTACTCCTTGTGTTCCGAGAACGGGACACACCGGGCCAACCATAGTGTTGCCATCCTGTCATGTTGCCACATCTGTGCAATCACTGTAATTTAGTTATGTCGGACTGACAATCCCGTCCAACACCCCGTGCTAGGCTGCATTTTGAAAAACACATCCACACCTCTTCCGCCCTACCCATCATTCCACAGGGGGGTTTGCAATTTTTGGAATCTTCGGAGATCTTGTTGCAGTTTGCTGTCAGGGATTTCACGGGGAGGCTGCGTCTTTCATGGTCTTGCACTCGCACAACTGTTGCAGCATGAGACAGCTTTCGTGAATACACATGCCAACTTCACAAGCTTTGCTAACATGCGACCCGCCCTGCGTGAAACATTGGACGAGGAGACGGTCCTCAGAAATTCCGGCCAAGTCTTGCAGCCCGACATTCTTGAATTTGGCCTCCACCTCACGGTTTTTCTCAAACGACAGTTTTGGCCGATCGAAGTTCCATCGCCTGTATGAGCCGTTGCACCTTTATGCACTTGAGCATCCTCAAAGGGCACGCTGAATTCTAGAAGCTTTCCCCGTGCTTTAGTGCATGTCTGTGCTCTTTTGTCTCCTCGAGCGATTCTGAGCATCTTGATCAAGGCCCTTTATGCTTCGCTGGACACGCAACTTTCGTGAGAGTGCTTCAAACCGCGTTTTGCGCTGTTTTATACACCTTTAAGCTTCTTTCCCTACGCATACGATCTGGTACCTTACTTGTCTTATGAGGCTTGAGCCTTGAGCATGGGGCGGCATGCAGCGGTGCTGAGACTTAAAGAGGCGCAGGACATCGTGGGATCGTAGTGGACCATAGGACTCCATCCTCACACCATAAACTAAAACGGACCTGAGATTGAAAAAACTTGAAACCTGGACCTGGCCGAGCGCCTGCAGCTACGCACCTGCTTCGGCTTTGAGGGTGGTTCGCAGATTCAGTGTTTTGGCAACACAGAACCGGCTTGCTTTGCTGACCGTGTTGGAGCAGTTCTGGCATGTGCCGGCGGTGGCAGACAGGGGGGGTGTAGGTTTTTTGTGGGTTGTGCGTGTGGAAGGATTGTAGGACTGGTTTGTGTCAGTTTGGCTAAGTCAGAAAGTGACTTTGGTTTTCGAGCCACAAAGATTGCAGAAACCGGCATGCTGCGCAGAATTAATGGAATGATTTTCGAAACGTCAGCGAATCTTCCGCAGCCATGCAGTAGGCAACTCACTGTTGCAAACCAGACTTGTCTTCAAAGACAGTGAATTATTGCTCGAGCAGTATCTTTGGAGCTTTCTTGAGCTATCTTGTCCCAACCTAAGGCTGGGAGCCATCATGGAAGAGGTTCGGGCTGGTTGATGAAGACTCGCGAGTCAAGCTCAAGTTCGCAGAGCTCTTGAGTCACTCTTTGTTGAGCTCCAAGTTGCTGGCACCTGCACGTTGCAGCGCTAGTAGTAGCTCAATGCCGATTGGTGCAAAGATTTGGTTCAGTTTGCTGCTGGCAAAAGTGCTGCGCCACTTGGGTGCAGCAACCGCCTGTTCAATTGAACTTGCTGCCTTGCCGTTCTTAGGGCCAGTTTCTTAGGGCCAGTGTTTCAGAAACCGGTCTTGCTGTATGCCGCAGTGCTTTTCCGCTGCAGGATGATTTCTGGCATCTCTGGCCATCAGTACATGACCACGTCCGGGTTTGCGTAGAGGGTGAGTTCATAGCGGCAACCTAGGCTAGACAAATAGCAAGGTGAAGCGGTCTTGTGTAGAGTCGCAGCTGTGTTCTTGGCAACGCGGGAATGATCGCTAGCCAGGCGATGATCTCGGAGTGTTTGGAAAGAATTGTTACCTTACGGAGACTGAGCAAGAAGGTCAACGTGATGACCAGCTGGGCCTAAGCCTCACTTCACGCTCATCATGCATCTCGTCTCTTGGGGATTGCCTAGGGGTGAAGTGATTTAGAATCTAGAACGGGGGACTGACACTCTACTACTACTCTACTTAAGGGTGTGAAGCACGAGCACCACAAGCATCACATGAGCCCCTGCAAGTTTTGGGACTGGTGTCCCTTCCACAGCGGCTTTTGCCGGAAATCATCCCGCGTGCTGCCCTGATAAACGACTCGGCACAGTGTGCCGGCCGGTCGAGAAGCCGGACTCTTGCAGAATGCGGCTCGGAAAATCGGCACTTGGTAGTCCTTGGTAGTCTCTCAATGGTGAAGACATGTGAAGACTGTCAATGGTGAAGGCGAAGAGCAGTCTCTACATCAGGGCTCAACTAGCGCCGAATGTGCAAGGGAGAAGGAGAAGTAGGGAGGCACGGGTGTGGTTGGGGCAGCTTTCGATTGTTCACCCCGCCAACTATCCCCAATGTAAGGTGCATCCCCCAAACAGCAACGGGCTCTCCGCCCATGCAGTGCTTAGGCACCGGATCCAGAAACTGACCCACCAGGACAGGTGTTATCCTCCGTCTCTGGAATCTTTAGTTGGAGTGGCCTCTGGCCGCGCAGACTGTGCGCTATGTGCCGGTCTGGGCTCCGGCTGCACAACATGTACAGGTACATGAAGTGCGTCCACCTGGCGTCTCTGAGTACGTGCCGCGGACGGCATAACAGGAAGCTCTTGAGGTCGAAAGGATGTAGTTCACAAGTTGCGGACTGAGAAAGAGAGTCTTTCTACAGCCCCGGGTCGCAACGATTGAAAGGTGCGTCAGGGTGGTGCTCTACGATCCCTGGTGGTAGGGAAGATTAAAAGACGGTAAAGGAGAAGCGAGTGTCAAAGTGTTCCCTTTCGCCCAGAAAACATGTTACATAGAAAGGTGCAGGCGCACAGTACTTTATTTACTCTGGCTCTGCTGTCCCTCAAACGTCCTCTTCCAAAGCCGCTTATGTGGCGCGTCCCTCTCGCAAGTTTTTGGCTTGATCTCTTCGAGGGCGTGGGTTTGCACGATGTGCGGCACCTTTTGTCTGCTTTGTCCTGGCTGCGGTCCTCCCGCGGTGGCTTGCGTGGGGGATTGCGTGGGTGGTTGTTGTTGCTGCGAGCCTGCATGTAAGCCTGCTTGGCCTAGGGCGCTGTCCTCATGCCAAGGCTGCAGGCTCAGTACCACTGCGGGGGCTTTCGGGGACATGCTAGCTGTGATTGATGATGTTCGGGGAGAGATGTTCCTTTGGCATGACCGGGAACCTCGGCCACGACTGAGGGGAAAGCCGACCCTGGCGACGAGGTTTGCGTAGCCAGCCCACCGCCGGGGGGAACCGATCCCACAGTCTTGAATTAGGCAGGGTGGGCCGCTTTGTCGAGGCAGCCTCTGAGTGTCGCTCCCGTGCACAAGCCCGGAGGAGACCGTGAATGATCGCATGTGTTTGGCTGCCACACTTTTACCTTGGAACGCAGCCTCTCCGTTGACCACCCGCAAAGAATTAACCTTCAGCAGTGCTTGGGGGCTGATGGGTACCTCACCGTCGCTGACCGAGCCAGCCGAGGGAAAGCCAGCTCGTTGGGAGAACGCCTCCATTAAGCTTTGCAACAGCGGACTTGGCAAGGCCATGACGTCCTAGTTCTGATAGGGAGGATCACTTTTTTTTGCTGTTGGTGGCCTTCCGAATCCTCCCGCACTCATACTCTGCACCGTACTTTATCATACTCCGCTGTTGCTGTCACCAAAAATGGATCCCCCTGTATGCGACGCGGGAAATCTTGGGGTTCAGCAACCGCGGGAGCCTTATTGGCAGGGGCCTTAACTTGTGCAGTGTAAAAAGGGGGGATACCGTTGCCTACCGTAGTATACTACAAGGAGGACATGGGTTGCTGCAGATACGAAGGATTTAGCCGTAGCGGGCGCGGGGATGAGGCCAGAACTTAGGATTAGGTTCGGGGTAGACCGTACTTTCCCGGTCGTACGAACCGATGGGACGAATACCGTCCTCGAAGCCCCGAAGGCCTCTTCCCTTTTTTGGCGCCCCCCCCTCCCCCATGACCCTCGAGCTGTACTTACCAATCCCTTTCTACAGTGTAGAACTATAGTTTCCAAGAGGAGATAGGACTATGGATCCCTCCAGCAGCAACACGTCAACACCGGAATTTGTGTGAAATCCTGTAAATATGATTAAGCATGCAAACCACCTGAAACCCTTCCAGACATAATACCTGCAAATACGCGCCGCCAGGGCGTACCATACTGTTAACAGGGAGGGGGGCGCCTAGGTGCGGGCTAACGCAGTTGGCCCGGACCCAGCGGAAGGAAGGAAGGAAGGAAGGAAGGAAGGAAGGAAGGAAGGAAGGAAGGAAGGGAGGGATCTACTGTTGTGGAGGTGAGGTTTGAAGGTGTAACAGAGGGAGAATACCCCTGGTGTCGTTTCACGCCGACTGTGGCGCTGGACGCCGGACGGACAGAGCCCCGCCAGGGGAAGGCTCGCGTGCGTGCCTGTACTCTCGAGCAAGCAAGATGCTACTGTTGCAGCAGACCGGCTTTCGTACTGTCGTGGGAGAATCCTCCAAAGTCTTACGCCGACGAGTGCTGGACGCTGGACGTTCTGAGCCCTTATGGGGGGAGGCACTGCGCTGCTGTGCCTTTACTCTTGAGCAAGCAAGCAAGCAAGCAAGCAAGCAAGCAAGCAAGCAAGAGAGATGCGGGCACCAAGTCTTTGCGGGGCCATGGCTCCAGTACAGCTGCGAGCGGGGTGGTGGGGACTGCCCGCCCTCCATGTCCCGGAGCGCGAAATATCGAGTGACGTTAAGTGCTTTTTCTGGCTCCGCAGACTCGCCGACACGCAAGTCTACGGAAATCCGGTCCAGTCACGGTACGACATGTACGCACATGTTTTCGGTTGCGTTGTTGGTGGTGTTTGCTTGATAGTGTTTTGTTTGCTGGCTTGAGATGGCTTGAGGACTTGAGGAGGGGTAGCACAGGGAGGAAGCCAGCAAGGGCGGAACGAAGGCAGGAGGAAAGCATGGAAGTAACACAGGAAGGAGGGAAGCAGGCAGCGAGATGGCAAGAAGCCGCAGACCCTGCTGCATTGAGCAGCGTGACATGGCTCGTTGCAAGTGGCAATATAACAGCAGCAGTGTCATGTGGGAGCAGCCCAAGTTTGCGATGCAATCTGTGGTGAGCCAGCTGATGCGAGCAAGAGGTGCCAATGGCTGCCAACGCCTCACGCCACGAGAACACCGAAAGGACATGTAGAACAATCGGAACGGTTTACTCTTAAGCACTACATAGACTTTTAAGGTGGCATGGCCATTGGTCATGTGGCTTGTGGAAGTGTTCGCCGGTCGTATTGTTAACCAAAGAAGAAAGGAAGGAAAGAGGGAAGAAACGGAATCGCCAGAGCGCTGACAATCAAAACTTGTATTCTCTGGCTGGATGTTTTGAAATTGAAACCATAAGACCTGATTACTGTAGACAGTAATCTGCAATTTTGGGCCTGGCCAGCAACTGCACCTATGAACCCTACAAGCCGTCCCTCTTAAACCGTTTGTGGACTCTGGACTTATTTGGGGATTCCTTCTCCAAGGCCCCCACACCTTCTCTTTCCGTTTGAAAGCCCCTTCAAACGCTTCTGAGGCTCTAAAGCCAAGCCCCTGAAGCAAAGCCACCGAAGTAGAGCCAGTTGAAACCAAAGCCAAGCCTAATGCATGTTACCTTAAAAGCTGTTGAAATTCCGTATAGACCCCTTGAAGCCCCAGCGCGTCTTGTAAAGAAACAGAAACCCCACAAGCCGACTAAGAAGGAGAGTCCCCATTTCAACCCTACGTACACCCTTATAACAGATCTTCCAAACCCTGAAAGCCCTAACAAACCGGCCTATAGACCTCCGCTGAAACGACGATCCGTGCAAGCCAAACGGCTGATATCAGTTTTCATCGTGAGCGAACACGTCATTGCGCTGCTCCGCGAAGAGTCTTCCTTGGGTGTTTGCTGTCGAGGTAGATTCATGTGGTGCTGTGAAAGGCCATTTGGGTCACAGGCATCCTTCGGCCAAGGGTAAGAACTCGACGCCATGAGCGAAAATGCTCCGTCAGAGGAGGAAGGCCCGGTTCAGCAAACCTTTTCCCCTTTGCGTGACTCTGTAGGGTGAGCTTGCTGCAGGGACACCTCAACCGCAAGAGCTAGTGGATGCTCTTTCGTCCATGCTACGCCCGTTGAGGCCTACCCTTTCTCAACTTGAGGCTCACGCGTGCTTTGCAAAATTGCATGATCTCTGCGGAGGCTCTCACATGCGCTACAATTTCACACAAATGCAGCTGCCTCAGTCGTGTAAAACGCACAGGTGCCAAGCCTCCCCTTTGCATTGAGGCGCCTGTAAGTCGGCAGGGCGAGGGCTTGCACAAGCAAGAGCTGTGCTTTATACGAGTCGTGGAGGCGGTATAAGC